GGTATCCTGAAATTCTTCAGACTACCCTCACTTGAATGAAAGCTTTCCTTGAGCCAAGAGGACTCTGTGCTTCTCTTGATTTCTGTGGAAGGGTTGACAACTGTTGTCTAACAGACCACTCAGTAAAAATGGAAACAAAATGGAATGACAAAGTCTTTTACTCTGAAAATGAAGTTTCTGCAAAACAGATACATGGACAGATATGTGGACAGATGCCTTTCTCATCAGAATATATTGTCTGAACAGTTATTCCCAAGAGTTTGCTTTTGTCAATGGTCTTAAAGTTCCTCCCTCAGAACAGATCAACTTGCAATCTTAATATTCTCTTCTGGAGAGTTGTTTCCAATTTTTTCGTGGGTTAAACCAGCAGCCTCTGGCATGAGGGCTGCTGAAACCTCCTCAGAGCCCTCATGCCAGGACCAAATAATCTCAAATAATCTCAAATAATGGGAATTTACAAAAATCTGGTTACAGAGTGGTGCGAGGAGACACTGTGGTTCTGCTTTCAGACAGAGATGATGTCAATTTAATGCTATTGTTTGACAGATTTTCCCAGACCTAACTGAAGAGCAATGTATATTTTTCCTGTAGGGTTCATGCATTAAACTTTAAGATCACCACGTTCTGAGGAATAACCCTTTTACAACAAACAAACCAAAAAACAGGTGGCCAAACTCAAGACTGGAAGTGCCCTTTCCAGACTGAGCAGTCTTGAAATTTGTATGGGAAAAAAACAAACAAACAAAACAAACAAACAAACAAAAACCTAAAATAAGTACTTTTAAAATGTCCAATATTTATAAATGTTGATCACTAATACATGCATCAATATGATTTTTTTGGTGTTAGATACATGTAAAAATCAGTATGGTCATGTAAATAGACAACTGTGTTTGATCACTTTTTAAAACAAAATAAGGTCTATGTTTATCCCCTTGCATGCTCCTACCTACTCAGTGTAGTCCTTGAATAATTCTAGTCCATACTATTTAATTTAAAAATAGCATTCAGACAAATAATTTCTTTGTTGGTAGTTGAAGACCCAGTGCCACACCTGGGTACAGACACCTACCCTACATGTTCCTTTAAAACTAAAGTTTCTTTAAAATTAACATTTGGTGTTTAGGATGACTGTAAATAGGATTTTTGTATGTAACAGCATAGAATAAGTGCTTAAAATCTCTAAACTAGTGAGTGAAAGAATAGCATGCACAATATCTGCCAGGGTCTTGACTGATATGCAGGCTTCTACCTCCTGTAGGCATACAACTGCATCCTTAAATCACTTTTGTCTTTTCTCACCTTAAAAAGTAAAGCACCTTAAAGCAGCAACCAAAAGCCTTATTATGTTTTTGCTCACTGTGTTTTGAATAATTACTGGGTTTGAGAGTTTAGCCCATTATCAATACTACAGCAACCTTTCTTTTGCTTGAACATGTCAGATCTTGTTGCTCTAGTTCAGAGTTTGGGAGACATCATTGTCACCCTGCTGATTTACCAAAGTTCAGTGGGACAGCTGTAATTTGCACATTTCAGCAGAAGAGCCTATTGAACAAAATTTTTTGCTTAATATGAAAGCTGAGAGAGTTCACTGGGTCATAGAACAGACTGAAATCAAACCTTCAGTGAGAACATTCCTAAACACACAAATTCATGATGTGGATTGAACCTGAATTTTACCAAAAATTTCAGCTATGTGAATTTGCTATAAATGATGATGGGTTTGCTGCAAATTTCTCATTGTGTGAGTTGGGCATATTTGTGTTTTAGTATTCAAGCCAAGTTACACAATCTAACAGGAAAGGTATCATTAAAATTAGGTTGATACAAACTTTATCTCTTTTTCTATGCAATCCTGTCAGCTGGGGTTTCATGAATGTGACTGAAAGAAACTTTTATGCTTTTTCCAATGATCTGAATTATTTTTATGGTAATGACTATTCCAGGTCACATTGTAATGACTTGATGACATGTGTTTCCTGGTTCTCATCCTGCAGGATATGATAGTTCTTCCTTAGATAAGAATTTTCAAATATTTATTTTGTAACATTATGCCATGGTAATTAAGAAGGAGAGGAGGAATTTTTTGGCTCTTTGAGTGCAATAAATTGTTTTCTCTGCAAGTTTTAGCTAGCTATTCCACTGTCCTGCCAAAACTTTGTCCTTATCATCACTTTCTTCTCTTAATTCTGTTTTTGTTTATATAATGTAGGTATTGCTGTACATAGATTTCAATTTCAAAGCTAGAGAAAAACAAATCTAATAACATCTTGGTTTAAAATAACATAAAGCTTATTTGTTAGAATTAAGCCCAGGAGAAAACAGCATGCCAATAACGTTAATGCACCATGGCACTCGGAGGTCATTTGAAAGAAGGTAAGGCTATTTTATGAAATTACAGATTATTTAAGGAAATATAAACATCATGATTGAAGATACCACATCAACCATGGAAAAGAAATAAGATTCACTATTGAGCAGAATGAAAACACAACTACTCCATTAAGCTTTCAACATATCTTGCAGTCTTTTACTGTTATTTACATTGTCTTCCCTTATTTTCTCCATAAATGTTGCTGCCCATAGGCTGCAACATTATTCTGCAGTTGATGTATGCTAATATTATACTGAAATACAACTTAAATGGTCCTTTCTAAGTTTCATTCCTTTTATACTATTTTCAGAATGAATTTGTTTACTACTTCATATGTTTCTCTATTTTCTTTAAATGAACAGGATCAACCAGAAAATTTCCCCTTCCAAAGTGTTCTGGGGATCTATTTTTGTGTGCTTTCTTTGGCTGTACAAATTTGATGCCTTTTCAAGCTAGTGCTGGAAAATTATTATCAGGTTACCTTTAATTTTGGTTGATGCATTCTGCCAGGCAGTAGCAATAATCACTGCAATAGTTCTGTTTTCCAAACTTACTTTACTGTTTTCATTTGTACTCTCAAAGGCATCACATGGCCAGAAGAGTTAAATACTTTACATTGCAGTATGAGTAAGGGCATGTCATTGTTTATCTTAGGCTTGATCATGAATTTTTTTTCAGGCTTTCTGCACTTAATACAAGCTTTTTCTGCAGTAAAAGCAATTGTAGGGGGTCAATTCAGGCTGCATGTTAAAATTAGTGCTAGAGCTGGGATGAATGTACTATAAAATTCTGCTCACAAAGCTGCCTGTTTTTCTACAAGGCAAGCGTGAAACATGAACATTACACTCTCAGGTCATCACCACAGAAAAAATATTTTTTCCTGACTTCTCTTGCTCTTTTGGATCACACAACAGTAAATAATGCACTTTATCTTTCTTTGATTTTCATATACAGAAAGGGTGGAGCATTTCTGCATGCTTTGCCATTCAGACATTCCCAGTATTTCTATTTTCAACTCAAAATTTTTGAATTAGTAACAGATGTTCTATTCTTTTGACTGAAACGGGGTAAAATTTTTTCTGTATTTTAAAGAAATCTTTTTACACTTTTACTGACCATTGAATCCCAAGTCCTAGTTTTTGTTACCAGCCTTCTCTGTAAACTGTATTTTATATCACATAACTCTTGCTGCAGTCAATGGGAACTTATCCTGATATATGTATGATGAGGTGCACCAGTATTTTGAATGACTTTAAAATGCAGCTTATGGACCAGTAAGGGGTAACATATTGCACATCCCAGCCTGTTTAGGCATGTTTTGACTATTTCTTGCCTCAGCTCCACTGATGTAAATGAGTATAAGACTTGATGATGCTGACCCTGAAAACAAGGTATTTCATGCCTATGAGATGAGAAAAATGTGTTAAAGAAAGCAGAAGAAACTGCAGAAACCTGGAGAAGGAGAAAAACCTTACACCAAAATTACAAAGCAGGTAGCCTGGAAAAGAACTAGTATATGTGCATATCTTACTGCTAATGATGGTCCATTAGCATAAAATATAGAGAAAACTCTTGCACAGCAAAAACCTAGGGAGTTTTACAGCTCTTGTTCAAAATGGATTTGGGGGTCTTGGATAGCTCTGAGGCAGGAAGGCAGACCTGTGGGTAGGACAAAAGAAAGACTCAATAGGGTAATAAAAAGAGAATCAAATTCCAGTTTAAGGAATACAGTTTTTGAGGTTTAAGTTGCAACCTGGAGGTTAAATGAAAGGTGGAGTTATTTGTCATTCTTCACAAAGTTTGAGTGTTAGAGTCCTCCCCCTTTCTGCTCCTGAACTATCTTCATTCCTGTAGTTTATTTAAGTGCAAGTCTCATCCTTTCTTCTTGCTTATTTATTGGTGTATATGTTCTGGTGATAACACAGATGCTGGTGTAAACTCTCATTCTCCTTAAGCCTTTGAATGTTTCTGTTAATAATACTACAGATACAATATTAGATTATCTAGCAGTAAGAATTGAAAATAATACAAACTGTAATATTTGTCTGTAGTTATTTTAAAAGATTTGAAGACCAAATAAGTCTTGACATTCTGGTGCACAAAAGGAAACAAACACCATGTTGTAAATGGAAAAAGGCACCAACCATTTATGTATGTAGAATTCTTGCTTTACATAAAAGGGTATGGAAAAGTATTTGCTAATACATTATTAAAGATGCCTGACTTTTTTCTTCCAAGAATATTGAAAATATTTGAGACATACTTGGGGCTCAATGTGAAACAGATGAAAAAAATACAGAAGCAAACTTCATTGTGCTGTTGTGAAAATACCTCTGGCTCACACTTAAGAATATTTCACATATTTTAAATTTTCAAAGTTCAGTTTTACTTATCAACATTTTAAATTATCTTGAGGAATTATACATCCCAAGCATTCAGACTTTAGAGAAATGATGTGAAATATAAGTAATTTATCAGATAATAGAAATCTTTTGTCAAAATGCTTTCCAATCAGTGGAAAACAGAACTTCATCTTCTCTTTGTTTTAAAACCTCTGGTCTGACTTGCTGCATTAACTAAAAAGGATTTAAATAAGTGCAAAATCTCCTTTTTGATGACACTGAAGAAGTTCTCTTTTTTTTTTTTTTTTTTACCTTGGGGCAGGAGGAGAGATGTCTCTTGGATGCCAGGAAGCTTTTGAAGTTTTCAAGCGGGACCATGCTGACAGTATAACCATTGAGGACAACAAACAGCTTCTGAAGCAGAGGTGGGTGTCATAAGAAAATACAGCTGGGGGAAGACATCTGAGACTTCACTAGGAGTCTGGGCAGAAACACATAATTTTACACCAGACATCCCAGCCTTTTATTGAGGACTCGTTACAGGCCCTTCACCTTTTCTTATTTAAGACATTTCGTATTCAGAAGGCACTGAGTGATGATAGAAGTCTGGAAAGAAATGAAAATAGCATGAGGAATCTTAGTGCTATTTCCACTGGTTTTATTCATCTTCACAACCATGTTGAAGCAACGTGGCAATGACATGATCAAGAATTATCTAGGGGAAGTAAAATCCATGGGACTGAATCAATTGCTGTAATTTCCATTGTCAAAAATGCTTTACTGACTTCAGCACTGAATTGGATAGCAAGCTAGGAGATGTTTAACATATGCTTGTCTGGTGTCCCTAACCTGTTTGCCAAGTGATTTTAGCTTTTTTCTGCCAGTTTTGCATTCACAAACAAAAATAATACTTTTGTCCTCCACATTTGTTTTTAATGTTGGCAAAAGTCTTCATGCGTCTGGTGAAAATAGTGATAATGGCAAAACATTGAAAACATGGATTTTCATACAGATTTTTAATCTCACACATTAAACCACCAACACTTGTCTATCTTGGTTGGATAACAGTACTGCTTCAGTGTCAGCTTTTCAAGTGTTAACCCTCTAGTACTGCAAAAGAAATGCATGGCTTTGAGATGACAGATGCTAAAAGCAAATCTCTCAATCTCTACTTATAACTAACATTTCCCCTAAGAGTTGCTTGGGGGTATTTTATTTGTTCTGTTTGGTTCAGGAAGGTGTTTGTTTGATTATGGGGTGTTGTGGTTTGGTTTTGTTTTTGTGGAGTTTTTTTGTCCTGAGGTTTTCTCCTTCTCCAGGTTTCTTCTGCTTTCTTCTGTTTTCTTTAACACAGTTTTCTACTTCACAGGCATGGAATACATTTTTAGGCTCAACAAGTCTTATACTCAATTTATTTCAGTAAAATTGAGGCAAGAAATTATCTCCACATCTTTGTGACTTACTAAAGTTCTTGTTATTTATCACTTTTTTGAACTGATTTACTTTTTACCTGGATCTATACCTCAGCCACAGGAATGCAAATTGCTAAGATATTAGACGTATGTAAGCATTTATCCATGTAAACTGGATATCTAGTAATGCTTTTCTTCTGATAAATTTATCAGATCATGCCACAGCATGATAATCACTGCATAAATTATTACACTGCAGTAATTTCTGGTTTTGCTATTCAACAGAACACTTAGTAGTTACAACATGGTAATGAGAGCAATACAGATGTGAGCCATGCTCTGCCTTTCTTCTAGTAAATCACAATTCTTCCATATTTTTTCTGTATGTTATTACTATGAAGCAAACCAGTATATTTCCTTCTGGCTTCAGAATACATAATAGAGATGAGCAAAATCTACTAAGTTTGATGACAGATTTGCTTTCTTTAAAGAACAAAGATTCATTCTAATGCCTTGTGTAACTCCTCTCTAATAGGCATCAGCTGATTTCTGAAATCAGTGCTAATGTGAATTTTGATACTTTGAAATACGCAGTTTCCCCTGCCATTTGCAGTCATTTTTAGCAAAGATGCTTAGCTCCAAGTTTACTGAGTTCATTAGAATGGATTTCTATCAAATCCAGTCTGTAATTGTGAATGCAGCCTCTCAACTACTAGTTACACAAAAGCTCTGTTACCCAGCCAGTGTTCAAATTGCACAGGAAGAGTGTGGACACCACATGTTTAAAGGTTACCATAGCTTCCCTTTATATGTAGGCTTCTCCTGTTAATAATTTTGTTTATAGTTGCATAACCACTTCTGTCATACCACAAACAGTGTTTGGTTCACAAATTACTTATTTTTAGCTGTCTTGTTTTTTCCTTTGAGTATTTTGGGTAGATTTTCTTGGTTTGCTAATTATCATAGAGTCAGAGAATAGGCTGAGTTGGAAGGAATCTTTAACAGTCATCTAGTCAAACCCTGCTGCAAAAAGCAGGTTTTGAAACCTGATTCAACTACATCCGGTTGCTCAGAGCAAAGTGAAGATTGACTTTGAAGGACTTTTCCAGGGATGGGGCATCCACCCCTTCTCTGGGCAATCTGTTCCAGTGTTTTAGCACTCTCATTGTAAAAGAGTTCTTTCTTAAACCTAGTCTAAATTTACCCTAAGGTACTACACCTTGTCTGATCACAACAGCCCCTGCTAAAACATGTCCCCATTTTTTGTATAATCTCCCTTTAAATACTGAAATGCTGTAGTAAGGTCATCCTAGCCCTTCTCTTCTCTAGGCTGAACAGCTCCAGCTCTCTCAGTTTATCTTTCTAGAGGAGGTGTTCCAGCCCTGCTGATTTTTGGGGCCCTGCTCTGGACACAGTTCAACAGGTCTGTCTTCCCTGTGCTCCAGAACTGGACACAGTGGTGGTGAATACCTTGAGTGCTGGTAGCTTGGTGCAGCTCTGGTTGGCAGGAGCCTGAGGCAAGAGGCCTTGAACTGGCACTGCCCTTTGCATAACAAAGGACACAGGTACCTGGTGATTCCAGCCAGGTGGAGACACAGTAGGGCCCATGCCTCAGGATGAAGAGCAGAGGTTTTCATGCTTTTAGACTGTGAGGGTATAAAAATCCAGGGTTTCCTTTGTTCAGGGTCCCTCCTCAGAGTCACCATCTTAAGCTGTTATCCTGCTCTTACACCATTATTAAATTATTTTAAGGACTCAGACATCTGAGTCTCTGCTATAGGAAACTCAGGGTTTAGCCAGTAAGGAAAAGTTGTCTAACTGTGTGTGCTAAGTGCAGGGAGTCAAGTATTTAACTTGTTGACTCACTGACTGCAAAGGAGCTTCAGTCCTAGCTCAAGTGATGAGAGAGTAACTTGTTTTGGCTAAGGACAGGGTTCAGTTTTTGTAGTAGCCTTGGGGCAGGACCTGGAGCCCTGTGAGTGTAACCAAGACCCTATTGTTATTCAATACCATGCTATGTCATGGTCAGGGGCAGAAAAAAAGGATAATCTAACCCTAACCCTCTCTAATTTCAGAAAAAGCATTCCTTTTCCCTTGGGGAAAGACAGAGTAGTGGGGTAACACTGGTACCAACTGAAGGGAGCACTTTGGGTGGCATGGCTATGGTTGGGTTAAGCTCTAAACTTTCTCTTTTGCACACTTTTGTTATGAATATTGTTGCTGTTATTAGTAATTTTCTTATTTCATTGCTGTTTCCAGTAAATTGTTCTTATCTCAAATTATAATCTTTGCCTTTTGTGCTTCCAATTGGAGGGGGATCAAGTGGAAGTATGTTTTTTTGTAGTGGGACTCCTAAATCGGAAAAATACTATTCCTAAACCATTCTGGCCAATCCCTACACAGACAGCATCACTATACTCTTCCTAGGTTACCCACCTATGCTTCTACTACTGCCTGTGCATTTCCTGCTTGCACTTTAGATTGATTTGCAGATCTCAACTCAGTCATGCTGGTCTCTTGTCTTCCTTGCTTGATTTCTTGCTCCTGGGGGTTTTGAGTTTTTGCACTTTGTGGAAAACATTCTAAAAGACCTACTAGCTTTGTTCTATACCTTTGTCCCTGAAGGCAGGGTTATTGACTAACTTATTATTGACTAACTCCTTGAAGAACTAGAAGTTTGCTTTCCTAAAACTCGGGAGCCTAAATTTACTCTTCCCCTGACCCAGATCCCTCTGAACTCCACCAACACATGACCACAGCAGCCCAGGCTGCCTCCAATCTTGATGTCTCTAATTAGCTCATTACTTTGGTGACCCATAGATCCAGTATCGTGTCCCTCTCATAAGGCTGTGTATTGCCTTGCTTAAGAAGCTATCCTCCATGGAGTCCAGGAGTCTCTTTGATTACATACTGCTTGCCATGCTACTTTTTCAGCCAATGCTGACTTGTTTGAAGTCCTCCAGGTGGACAAAATTCAGTGAGCACAATGCCTCCATCAACTGGAACATGAAGGCCTCATAAATAGGCTCCCCTTGGTCAGGCATCTTGTAGTAGATACCAGCCACTCAGTTCCCTTTGTTGCCTCAGTCTCTGATTCCTTCAGCTATCAGCCTGCTCAGATAACTGTTATTTAGAGGCAGTTCTTTGCATTTGATTCCTTCCGCTATCAGCCTGCTCAGATAACTGTTATTTAGAGGCAGTTCTTTGCATTCAGTCCACTCTTGGTTTAGACAGCACCCCTTCTTCTCACTTGTCTCTTCAGGCAATCTGTAGTCACTGGTAGGCAAACTCAAGGCATGGGATTCACCCTACCAGGTTTCAGTAATGGCAACAAGATAAAAGTTTCCAACAAGGGGGGGAATTCCAACCTCCTCCGGCCGGTGCCCAAAAAACCCGAAATGAAAAAAAAGCAACCCAACCGGTGGCCGCCCCAACCTCTTAAAAAAACAAAACCTAAATCCCTTCAAAAAATTCCCTGGGGGTCCCCCGGTGGCCCCCAATTCCCCAAGAACCCCCGGCATATCTCAGTAAGACATCAACTGTGCCTTGTATCATTCTTATAGTAATTGAATAGTGAACTGTCAGTGAGCCTTGGAAGTTTCACTGTGAAGGTCACAACTGTTGCTTGGGCTGTGAAATTATTCATATAGATGTGACCATACATAGCCATACATATAAAATATAGATTATTTTTTTCTGTAACTACTGGTGTAAAAATGATCAAAGGCAGTCAACTAATTAAATAAAATACTGAAAATTATTTGTTTTGTTAAAAATATAAAAGAAAATATCTGATTTTGAATAAAGCTTTTCACCTACTACATCAGAGCACTTCACAGGTGCAGTAGCTTATACTGTAACTCAGTAATGTCTCTAAATTTAAAAAGTGGGAAAACTGATCTAGTCAAAGATAACTCAAGTAAAACAAAATTTATTCAATTTGCCTTCAATTCAAGTTGCCTACGGGAAGTGCCTTTGTAAGATAGAAAATGTGATCTTCTACAGCCTTACAGCAATCTTTTTCATTTTTCTTCCATACATTAATAACTGCTTCCCTGCTTAAAAAAAACACCCTGTGTTAATACCCAGACAGAATCAGATTTCTGCAATTTGAACTTTCTATACCTGACTTCTAGAGAACTTAATAATATCCTATTTCCTAATACAATCATGTTCTCTTTGGATTGTTTCTCTGAAGAAAATGCATCCCGTTTTCTGGTAAAATATGCTACCAAGCAATCTTTACAGTTCTGCCACTCCAATGTAATGCATATTGCACAAATCTTCTAAATCTTTTCTTTGACAATATTTCCAGTAGTACAATTCTACTGATCTTACTAGTTGCAAATTTAGTTTCCTTTTTGTTGTTTTTCACTGTTTTCTTCCATTTTCTTCTTTCCTTGCTTTCTGTCTTTTAGCTGGTTAACTGTTAACTTATTTTTTCAGTTACTATGGGCAAGTTTCATGGAAAGGATGAGTTTCACTTGGGTCACTTGTTGCTGTAATTTCTAATAATTAAAAACAAGTGAATACTCATTTAATTCACTGAATGTCTCTATCATTAGACAGCCTCTGAGTTTTTCTTAGTTTACATAATGAGTTAGAGATTTGTTTTCCAAGATGTTTATATTTTAATTACTGACATTTCCATTCAAAGAGTGGCATCTTTGCCAAAAATGCTTTTTCCACTAAAATTAGTGGCTAAGTTTGCTCTGGGGTTTCATCATGGAGTATTTATCTTGTAGGTAATAGAAGACATGATTTGGCAATTTCAGCCTCTTCAGTTGAATGGTTTCCATGTAAGATATAAATGAAGTTTTTTCAGCTAATAATATAATTGTTCAGTCATCACTATGCATAGCAATATCACCTTAATGCTAGATAATATCACCCCCTTTTTTATTAAAGAAAATAGCATTGTCCCATTCAATATTAGAGTAGTTTTGCGTATTTACCTGATTTATTTTGTTTGACTAGGATTCATAGTCACAGATGGAATCTGTTGAAATGTCATAAATTCATGCCAAATTTCAGTTTATATTATTGTGCTGGTTTATAAACTATGGTGTTTGAACAAAAGATGCACAACCTATTCAACTATTGGCAGTAACCTATGAATAAAGGCTGGATAAATATCTGGCTTCAACTTTTCCAGATAAACCTCTCTATGAACATGAATCAGAGTCAACAGCCAACATGAGATTTGTCTCAGGAATGAATAAATAATAAGTAAATTATGAACTTACTATGCGACCTGAGGGAAAGAAGGAGAGAGCTACTTCAGGGCTTATTTCCTTTGATATTTAGGCAGTCCTTAATGCTTGCTCAGAGCTCTAAGCCCAGTAGAAAAAGACTTTCCAAAGTCTAACAGAAGCTTCAATGGCTTCCATCTTTTTTATGTAAGAAAGAGTAAGTGCCCAGGAACCCTCCAACTTCAGCCATTTATCCTTGTGGAACTCAGCCATGAAAGCATATGTTTGTGAGCAGATTCACAAGTAGGCACTTGAAATTCAAACTTGTTCCAGTCTTATGAAGAAATTAACTGAGAAGGGGAAATTTTTCACATCCCACCTTTGTAGGAAGAAGCCATATTTTCTTACTCTGTTTTGATATTTTTTGAGTTAGAAATACAATTTGTGGATTTCTTCAGTTTCTTTGTCTAGATCAAGACCCTTCTAGATAGTTTCTCTTAGACCACACAACCTCTCCTAATGGAAAATTGTTTCCAATTAATTCTACTTAAAAATGAAAAGCTAGTACTGAGTAATTCTGTATTTTATTGCTATAAGCTTCTGCAACTATTTGTTCTTTAGAATAATTCTGTATCATTATGCTTGCCTTAACAGGTTTGATGAAGCTAAATGCCTTGGAGGGAAATTAAATGAAGTGAGAAATAAAATAAGTGAGTAAATTTTAACTTCATTTTACCTTTAGCTGATGAAATCACAGCATTCAAATATATGGGAGGAGATTCTAATTTCTAAAAGAAAAAAGTCAATGCATGGCTAAGACTTCCAATAAGGTAAACTGTAAGCTGATGATAGCAGTAATAATTTTATGTATAAGTTTTGATTATTTAAAATACTGTAATGTAAAAACCAGCTCCCTTCTTTATTTAACAGGATATCTGAAATTTATCAAAATAGAGACATTAAGGTATTAGCATGGGATTTTAAATTTTATTTTGAAATAAAAGGATCCAAAACCATAATTTGAAAATTTCCTATCTATGGATTGAGGATTGGATTAATCCATAAATTTATATGACTTCCAATAAAAAATTCTCTGCACTCAATAAAAAAATCTGCATTTTGTATAGATTAATTAGAGCAATTTTGAGGAGTGCCTCAGTATGGTTGGGAGTTTCACCTTTTTTTCTTCTAAGTATATGATTGGTATCCAATTTCAGATTTTCCAATGTCAAAAATCACCCATAGATACATTCATCCCCAAGGCAGGTCTTATTTGATCTTCCTAGCAGCCTTTGATATGTTCCTAGTTGATTCTGGAGTTCTGTTGATTCCAAACCTGGAGGCTATCCAGGATTTCTGTCAGATGTTAAACAGTTTTTTTCTGTCCCTAAATTTCTTGGAGATCAGGTCCACGTCCTCCATTTTGCACACATTCTGGTGAACCATGTCTCTTCAACCTTTCAGATGCAGGCTGTGAGGGACAAGATTGAAAGGTAATCTGGTATCCAGAGCAAGTGGTGTAGATCTTGCTCTTATTTTCTATTCTGTCCTTCTTTGGGTGGCTCCAAAATAGACATGGACAATGAAGTCATTATAATCGCTTCAAGTCTTAGAATAGCAGTTGACTTCTGGGAAAGGGCAAATATCTCACAACACATCTGCCAAGTGCTCTGTACTTACACCATAGCCATGATTATATTCTCTGTGGTCATGAATGATAATTACTGCCGGATTCCCCTCCCAGTCACCTTTGGGTACACCACAAGTCCCTCAGAGATATTATGCAGTACATTTAAATTATGTCAGGTATGCAGAAAGCCTCAGCCATGTTGGCAAAGTGTTTTCAAACCACAGCACAACTGATGTTTTGAATAGATCCAGAAGCAGACACATCAGGTGCTGAGCCCTCCTGCAGGAGTTTTCTGAACACTTGGTTATTTCTGTAAGACATGACACTGGAATTCACCTGTCTTCTTTCAGTAGGTTAATTTGCCTCTGTCAGACTGGCCAGAACATAAATGTCAGTACAGAACCTGTGCATAGATATTCATAGATTGACCCATGCAAGAAGAATTGCAGTAACTACCTCACAACTATGGGTTTCTGCAGTGTCCATATAAACTCACTTAACTCCTGCCAAGCAGGCTTTTTACATGGAAAACAAGTTAAACATACTGTGGAGGATTCTTTTTCCTCTGCTACCACCTTGAAGTCCACGTTGTCCTGCATTCCTTTTTTCTCTTGGATTCCCATCTATGTTATACCCAAGAAATTCCTTAGCCTAAATAAGGTGTAGCCAAAAGTCAGCCGTGACTGCCAAGCTTCTTTCTCTTATGGAAGTTGAAATTAATTTTAGAGCAGGAACAGTGAAAACCAGCAATAAGCAGCTACACACAAGCACATCTTTCTCAGTATCTGGGGTGGCAACTGAGCTGCTTGAAGAGAGGAGCCTAGCAGCCACCCTAAATGCATCTTTCACCTGAGGGGAAAAAAATGTTTGGAGGACATGGGAGAGAGTAAAAGATGCAGTGGGACACAGGCCAGTCCTGAAGGTACCCATGCTAGGACAAGACTTGTGTAATCTCTAAGTCCCTTGAGATTTGAATCTCTCAGAAATAATGTAACAATGCAATGTAGACATCATCTCTCAAGACTGTTTCCATGGATTGCTGCAAAATCTAGAAGAAACCCTTAGTTTGGACTGAGTTGCTGTGTGGTTTTCCTCAGTAAGTTAGGCAAAACTTCTGATAGCTATAGTGCAGTAGAGTATGGATTTAGCTGCAATTAAAAACATCTGTTTAAAACTTGCTTTTGGTTAAGTTCTTCAGTTTTAACATTGAAACAGTGAAGTATATCTGGGAAATATGAGCGCTACAACAACAATATATGTAAACTAAAAACCCATACTGATGCCTTGAACAAAGCAAGCAGCCATTTAACAAATCAGTAGTGCTGCACTGAGCTTGACAATGCCTATATGCCTCCTGTAGAAAATTGTAATATGTTGTAGACAAAATGAATACAGAAAATGCCCTTTAAGAATCAAGCTAGCAATATCTCCAAATGTCTAAGAAAAATTGCACAAAGCACATTTTAGTCTTGTTTTGGTATATAAGTGTAGCTACAAGTGAAGCATTTTCAAATTAAAAATTAATTTCTCTACTCTCTTTTTACTTTGGTAGCAAAATGGGGAAATAGTATTTTCATTGAGTTTTTACTCTAGTTCTGTTGTATAAGCAAGAAATTCTATCCATGTTGTATCTATTTATAGCTATCTATATCCTGATTGATGCAGATTATGCAGATGTAAATACTTTGTGGACAGTTTTTATACACTGATGTATTCAATTCTTTCTGTGTAACACTCTGCAACATGTGAAAATTGTCACTCTGGCTAATACATATATTAGATTTTATTCATCTGTTCTTTAGTCCTGTCCAGCATTGTTTAGAACATATTTGTTAATATTTCTACCTGTAAGCACCTCCTAAGAAGTATTCAAATTTTGTATCCAGTTCAGCTTAGTCAATTCAATTACATGACCTTATACAGTCCAACAGCCTAAAACATTTTTTCCACTAAAGTCTATTTCATCATAGAAGTCATACTCAAAGGATCATTAAAGATGCTAAGTAAGTTTACTAACCTGCCAAATTTTTACTTAAAATGTGGTACAAAAAATAAGAATCATCTGAAGCCTGCAACTAGATCTTTAATTTATTTTTATTGTTGTTTTGGTTTCCTTAAGCATTCCTGGCTGCCTTGTTGTGCACAATCAAGAACAGACCCCATCAATATCAGTTTTCATTATTTCTAAGTTGCTCTTAATACTATAAAGCTATGCACCACAGAGGCCATAATAATCCATTTCATACAGTCTGATTATATTTTGAGATAGTGACAGCAGCATCTGGCTGTAACTTTTATGTCATAAATACTTTGACTTTGGAAAGATTAGTGTTTTGCAGTGAACAGTACCCACAATATCTAACCCCTTCTCAATTACACTAGCATTTAAAAACATCGGGAAATTAGGGCTGTAAAAAGAAATTTGTGGTAGGATTTTCTTGATAGACTTTTGTAAATGTTACTGCTTGCACAAAAAAATTAAGGAAAACCATGTCTAGATGTAAGATGGATGTCAAGTGTGGAATAACTATAATATCAGAAATGAGACATTGTGACCAGCATCCCTCTCTGCTACTATATCACTTAGTCCTGGATTCTGTCTCCTTTTATGTATAATAGCAGTACAGGAATTTTTCTTAAATGAAAAATATATCTTAGATTTGTCATTATGCTTACTTTTCACAATGACTTCCTATAAGTAAGAGGATGAATTTTATTGAGGATGAAAATTGTCTTTTTCTGATACTTGGGGGAAAAAAAAGAAGAAAAACAGGGAAGTGTTTCTAAGTCAGGGTCATTTTAGTGACACTTTGCTGTATTATGACACTAAACTCTCTATAGGCACAAATAGAGGAGCTGAGGGCTTTGGTGCAAGCACTGAGGGGCAATTCTTTTTGCAAGTTATTGCATAAATGCACCATAAAAAAACAGAGAAAATGTATAGATTTTGAACAAGTAAGCATGTCTGGATTTGTTCGAACGAACTATTCAGAATTGTTTACATATGGCTGGAGAATGTACCCAATGACTGGGCTTTAAAAGACAAATACAAAAAACCAACATGAGTGAAACTGGAAAAAAATAACTGAGAGGTCAGGAAATAATGAGAACTCTGCAACCAGTGTAGAAGAAGTGAAAAATAGGCCAGCACTGACACAAAGTACATTTTTGCCTTTCTAGTCCAACATTAAGAACTTTCAAAGTGTATATTTTGCCAACCAAAAAAAAAAAAGGGTTTATTTTCTTGGAGAAAAAAGTGCTGTGTGACTGCATGTGCTTTTGTATTGTACCATTTTCAGAGAGTTAGGGTCTCTAACAAGAACTATAGATTCTTTTGGTATTACTGAAGAAGACAGTGAAGGAAACTTGATGCTGAAGCCAAAGATTTTATTTCAGAATAGAAAAGAAAATTTCTAATTGCAAAAATTTGAGTGATTGTGCCTAGCGCAGTGTGGTGAGTCAACCTCAGCTGAATATCCAGCAGCTGTCTCACATCCCTTCCTCAGAAGAACAGGGGAGAGAAGTAGGAAGAAAAAGGTTGTGGGTTGAGATAAAGATGAGAACATGGCTTAACAACTACCAAGTGAAACAGACTGAAGTCAGAGAAAATTAGTTTAATTTATTGTCAATTAAAATAGAGCTGCATGGTGAGAAGCAAAGACAAAACCTCTGAAATAAAAACTTGTCCTCTTATCAGGGCTAGCAGGAGGGTTTGGTTTTTCCTAGGATGCTGCTATCAACAGGGTGGTTTTACACTATTACTGCAAACATTCTGTGTCAAAATACTCTGACAGTAAGGACTACTCTACATCTGAACAAACTGTAAAGTATTAAATAACAAAAAAGACCCAACTGTAATCAAAGAGTGAGTTGGGCAACTACAACTTCTATTTGCAATGTAAATTAAACTGATACATTCATTCAGAATTTTACCACCAAAAAAAGTTTCCTATGTGCAAGAATGTGTGTTAGAAGCCTTTAAAAGTAGTAAAGATTTCCAGTTCGCTCCTATAAATGTCTGACTGTTTTGGGTTATTTTTACCACTATTAGATTTAGTTTTTTTCCTAAAGGGAAAAAAA